AAAGAAAGAAAGAAAGAAAGAAAGAAAGAAAGAAAGAAAGAAGAAAGAAAACATAAAGAATTAAGACTGTAGTACAACTTCAAATATTGTGAAAGATAAAATAATAGCTTCGTTGATTTAGTTACTCTTATCCATTGTCTAAGGGAAAGTTCACTGAAGCACATTTTGACATTTTATCACACTGTAGCCTTTCTGAGAAAATGAGTTTTTTAGGGTGGTGGAAATGTTGACTAATTTTCTCTTTTTCTCAGATGGGATTACACCACTTTCTAAATCAGAAGTTTCTGCTATTGCAACATGTATTTTTCTTTATTCTTTGTGTTTTTTCCCTCCATTAGAGACAATCCATTGGGGTTCATTACTGAGCCATTTGTTAGTTGCAGGCATCTTCTTGTTTGTGACTATAGAGACATAATCCCAGGCTGGGTCTGCACATAAGTCAGCAAGAGATCCTACAGCTGCTTAGTGAACCAGTCAAGACAAGGGGTCATTCTGATCTTTTAGGCCCAAAACCCTGTTTTCCCAAAGTAATGTGGAATTTTTATTTTAATCATCATGAAGATTGATTTAACTTTGGTTTGCTTACAACATGCTGTGTATAACTATCAATCTGTTAACTGTTTTATGAAGTGTAATATTCTCAGAGAAAGCGCACAAATGCTGTGTATAGTAAGATGCACTTTTCCGAGCTGAGCACACCTGCCTGATCCACACCCACTCCAGGAAACAGTGTGACCAACACACTAGAAATTTCCCTTATCCATTTCCTGTCCCTGTCCCTCCTCACTAGGGGGAACATTTTCATCTTTTATTGAATTTTATACTTTATGTGAATGGAATTATACATAACATACCATATATCTGGCTTCTTTCATTCTTTGTTATGTTTATAACATTTATCTTGCATTACGTTTGTACATTTTCAGTGCTGTGAAATATTCCATTGATCAATAGTTTATTTGTTCTGTTTTAAACAGATTTCAATAATTTCATTTTGAAGGGAAGAGGGATCATTATTAATATTCTTTTGTGAACATTCTAATGAAACTTTTTTGCTTAAAGTGTACTCATATATAACCTATGATATGGCAGTACACACTGCATAGTTTGGTGTAGGATTGGGGCTCTAAGACATGTGCATATTCTCACTAGTAGCTAAGAGAATTTTCCAGGCTGTTGAATGGACTGACATTCATGACGACAATGAATGAGAGTTCCAGTTTTTCCACTGACCGCCAGCATTTGTCAGTATTTGTCTTTGCTATTTTTTCATATAGAAGCTATATGTATTTAATATATATTTACTTGATGATAATGAATTTATTCTATATCTTTTTGTGTGATTGTTAGCTATTTGTGGGTCTTCTTAGAAGTGGTGAATTATCTGTTTAGGTCTTTTGCATGTTTTTGTGTCAGTTGACTTTTTTGCTGCTATTATATAGGAATTTTTATTATAACTTGCACCTGAGCCCTATTTTGCACATGGAAACATTTACTCCCCTAACACAGTGCTTTTTCCCTAAATGGGATCTTTTGGTGAACAAAGTCTAATTTGTTACTTTTTTATGGTGGTTGTGTCTAGGTTCATAAATGGCCTAAGCTGAGACGACAAAATTATCCTGCACACATCTCTAAAATCTTTGAGTCTGAAATCCATCTGACTCAATATTTGGGATATTATATGCAATATAGAGATCAAGATGTATTTTTATATCAATATCTTATTGAACGGGCCAGGGAGATGGCTCAGTGGAATAAGCACTTCCCTGGCAAGTGCAAGGGCCTGAGTTCAATCCACAGATCTGCCAAAAAAGAAAAACAGAGAGAGAGAGAGAGAGAGAGAGAGAGAGAGAGAGAGAGAGAGAGAGAGAGAATCAAAAACTTATTGACCTAGCATCATTTTCCTTGTTTTTTTTTAAAAAAACTTGTTTAAATGTGTATATAACTTAGTTGTGGTAAAAATATTTTTTCCATATTTCCAGAGAAAATTACTCATATTTCTTGAAAAACATTTCAAAGCTTTGGTGATTTAAAATTTGTAGCCTTAGGGCCAGCCAAATAGCTCAGCGGATTAAAGAGCCTACAAGCAGGCGCACTGGCCAGTTCAATCCCCAGGTCTGTTGTGCTGGCCCTGCCCCCGGGCGGGGGGCACTGAGATGGCACTTGAGACTGCGTGGTGGCGTGCAGCTGTAATCCCAGGTCTTGGTGAATCACTATGACTCTGATCTAGTAGTGAGACCCTAAACACCCTGAAGACCCTTCCCTAAAATACAAAAAAAAAAAAAAAAGAGTAACCTTTAGGTTAGTAGGTTAGTTAGTTATTTAACACTAATATGAACTGAAATATCTCTTTAAACTTTTTCTATTCAATTACATCTAGTTTTTAAATCTAGCTATTTATTCAATACCAAAGTGATTTTTAACTTTCAAAACATGAAAATTTAAAAAAAAAATTGCTCACTTATTCCATTTGAATTCAGTTTCACATGTTCATGATGTGCCCTTTAGAATTTGAGACTATTGACGATATGGTTAAAGTTTTTTAAGCTCCATTTTTATTTTAAAGTGTATATAGTAAAGTTATAAAGCATTTGTCAATAATACACCAATTTCTTTTGTACTCAAAATTATGTTAATAAAGAGTGGTACAAGGTAAGAACTCTTTGTATAATGCCTCTGTATGAAGTTTTTCTCTAGTGGTTGCTGATTTCTTTTAAAACATAAGAATAGAAAAGAAAACAAATACAAAGGTTTCATTTTTGTGCTTGGAATGGCTGTGAATTCTTCCTCTTTGGTGTCATTTTCTTACTTTTTCCTGCTTATTATTATTTGTTCTAGGTTGTGCTGGTCAGTGGACATCTGGACAGTTGGGATGTCGGGCAGGGAGCCATGGATGATGGTGGTGGAGCCTTTATATCATGGGAAGCACTCTCACTTATTAAAGATCTCGGTAAATATTTAGAAAATCATTAACCAAGGTGTGAGGATCGTAGCAGTGACATGTCTAGCTCACTACACAACATTCACAAAGAGCCTCCTGAGGCTTCTATATGTTTTGTCAGTTGATTTCCAGAAAAGAACTTATTTATCCCTTACAGAAAGACATTTTTGTCCACATGTACTGCAGACATCCAAAGAACCAGATATTATTATCAGCCACTGGGGAAAATGAACAAGCAAATAAAATGGAAACAAGTGTAACCACACCAGCTACAGACTGGAAAGAAACTATGACCAAATAAAAGAAAAATCAGCAGGTCCCCCACTTCCTTCTCCTAATTCACTTTAAAATATCATCAAGCTGTTAGGATAAGGGGAAAGACCACTCATATTTCCACGATAGAAATTATATAGAGTGACTTTGAAGTGGAAGAACGATCCCATGTAGCAACAGTAGGAATCCAGAATGAGAATGAGACTCTGGAACTTTCAGTTAAACTGAGATGAGGATAAATGGATATACATAAAAAGGAATAGCTAATTTAAAAAGAAGCTTAGTTTGGTGATCGTATTTGAAAAAAAACCCCACATACATTTCCTCTTTTTATCAAAATGGTGAACTTGTGGTTTGAAATAATGAAAGAATTGAAGCAAGAGTTCTATATCTGTATCAGACCAGCAGTAATTTCACGTGCCCCATCACAAACTGTGTTGGGTCATTGCTGTGAAATAACCTCAGTTTCACATGAAATGTAGATCAGAGTTTTCCACTGATTGTTTTAGTATTTACAGGTCAAAAGTCATGCTCTTTCTACCACTTTGAGTGAACATTCTTAATCCATTAAAAGTTATTTCTCTTCTTTATAATAGATGATTTTGAGCTCATCTTTTGTGTACTGTTTTAATTTATATCTTACTTGTGTTTCAAAATGGATAAATGGAACAACAGTCTTTTTAAAACTTCTAACTAGCTAGTGTTTCTCAAACTTGGCATTATGGCACTTAGGATGGGACAACTTGCTGTGGTGGTGTCTGTCCTATCTATGGTAGAATATTTCATATCATCTCTGACTTCTACCCCCTGGATGATGATAGTACCTATCCTCCTCAAGTTGTAATAACCAAACTGTCCCTTGACATTGCCTGATATCCTTGGGTGGGGGTGCCAAGGGTAGTAGGCCTAGTTTAAATAAAATTTCTAGGTACTTTGAATATACCATCATTAAAAAAAACTAACTGGGGGCCATCCTAATAGCTCAGTGGATTAAAGTACCTGCAAGCAGGCACAGGGGCTGGGGATTCGATCCCCAGGCCTGCAGTGCCGGCCCAACCCCCAAGCACACTGAGATGGCAGTTGAGACTGGGTGTGGTGGCATGTGCCTGTGATCCCAGCTGTTGGGAGGCTGTAAACAGGTGGATCACTATGAGTCTGACCTAGTAGTGAGGCCCTAAACACCCTGTAGACCCTTCCCTAAAGTACAAAAAAAAAAAAAACTTTATTGGAAATCTTACATTGCAAATTCTAAAATCTTTGTCATCTTAACCATATATAATAAAAAAGATATGTTTCACTGAGAACCTACTAAACTTTTTATGAAGATTTTATAAAGCTGCGCATAAAGAGAGGTATAGAGATCTCCTTTGCTCTTCAAATCCTTAGAATATGATGTGGAATTACCCCCTCACCTATACATGTATAAGGGCTGGTTACAAAAAGCAGTGTATGTTTAAATTAAAAATGTATTATAGGAAAAGACATACTGTCATTAATCACGCTTCCTTTGAACACACTTAGCCCGTTACTCCTGCCACTTTGTGAAGCACTTCTGGAAGTCTTCTTTCATGTCTTTAGAAGTTGTGATTGAAAATATGCTGAATGCTGCTGTTGAGTGTTATTCAGCAGAAAGGTAGGTTCAGGAAAAGATTACAGCTCATCTTCACGGCTCTTAGCCATGGATCTGGCACCATGAGACTGCTGGCTCTTACCTAAAGTTGAAAGGCCCATGAAGGTAAATATTTTGAATCAGTTCAGGACATCAGTTCAGCCATGACAGTGCCACTAAAGACACTGTCAAAAGATGGATTTCAAAGCTGGCTTAAAAGTGTCACGAGTGATGAAATAACTGTGTTCACAAGAGAGGGAGTCCTCTGAGAGGGATTAATGACCATTTAATACCTTTAACATTTATTTATTTTTTTCATGTTGTGAACAGCATGTTTTTTATTAATTTTATTGAGAAACAGATATCAATGAGACAGTTTCAAAACCAATTAATAGGACAGTTTCAATAATTAATACAATGCAAATTGTTATCTTCTTAGTGGTTATTCATAGTACAAGATACAGGCGTGATATCCTGTCCAAATACTATTAGTAGAAATCTTTCTTCTCACTGAATTAAGAGAAAGTAGGTGTATATCTATCCTAACTATTTTATATATACAGATACAAAATGGTCCTTCCTTTGTATTCCCTTTTTTTGTTTAGTTTTGTTAGAGATGGGCATTCCATCGCCATTTAAATACTGTAGGTATGTGAATTCAGAAAAATAATGCAACATAGTCCAGTAGTCCATAATAGTAGAGGGTTATCCGTAGGACTGGCAGTGGCAGAAGTTGTTGACTTGAACATTTATTGTATATTTTGATCCCACTGCACCATAGGTTATTAACATAGACATAGCTTCAACATCTACTTTTAGAATTGAGTAAGGTTTGAAAATTTCCAGCAAAATAAGACCCCAAAACACTGAACATTCCTCCAGCAAAGATCTAGTAGGTGAAATTCCGTTCTGCTCCCCTTACCGTAAAAATATTCCCTTGGCTGGCTGTTCTGTTTTTCCCTCACATGGTTTCAGAGTGAATCGGGTTCTAGAGTAAAGTGGGCAAAAGTCACACCTTTTTTCCTCCATATAGAACACAAACCAATATTGTATAAATTAATTTTATTCCATTGCATCCCACCAGCTTATATGAAACAAAGTGGCTGAGTAAGAAGAGAAACTAGACATGGCTGAATTTGATTTTAGGTTCCTCTGTGCTATAGATAACAATTTTGCTCTCAGTTTGGCCATTTGAACTCTTTGGACTTCATTTTATTTGTCTCCATTCAATTCCAAATTTTTGAAGTATTTTATTTGTTCTAAGTTGAAATAAAATTTTACCTTCTCAAAGTTCTGATTCTCCATGCTCTGATACTCAGCATGGAATTCTAAATCACTGCTAATTAAGTTCAATTCAATTGCACGGGGAACTGGCAAACACCGTGCAAAGGTGAGGTGGGTGTCTCTCCCACAGTTCTGAAAGTACAGCAACTTCAGTTGCTTTTGTTAGCTCCTGATGACTCCTTTCAAGTCAGAGCTAAAATCTCTGATTTTTGAAAAGCATGTAAATATATGAATATGACTGAAATAAATAGTAGTATTTTGTTTGAATGAGTCTTAGGACACAGCATGGCACACTGTTCTGAAAAACCACAGGAACTCTGGAAACACACTGCCTGGTCTCATCTCTCAGGCTTCCAGCTTCCTAGTTGTGTCTTTCTGGGCAAATTATTTTGCCTCTCGGACCTTCAGTTTCCTTATCTTGGAAATGAAAATAGCAGTCATTCCTTTCCACAGGTTTGCTTTGGAACTAAATGAACTGTTTATGTAGTATATGTAGAACAGAGCCAAATCCAATCCAAATTCTCAGTAAATCCTAACTTTTGTAATTTATTAAGCATGGCTCTGAAGCAGTCATTTGAATATGAGTGGATAGTAATTCTATTTTTTAAAAATACCCACATTAATGATTATTTTGCCTCTTCACTAATATGTTAATTATAGTACTATATATTACTACTTAATATGTTAATTATAGGGCCAACTTCTACAGTCTCCCCACACACTGTTTCCTGTAAAAGAAAAGTGTCCCTTATGTACTGTCTTATATGGTAGAAACCTAATGACACCTCTATTTTTTCTACTTTCATACTAAATTTTCTGGAGTCTTAAATTTCTGTTGGTCACGTCTTACATCTATATTCTGCCTATGTTAAAAATCCCATATTCACTTTGCACTTCCTTCCTGCAATAACATCCACTGTGTCTCACTCTTTAATTTTAAAATTGACTGCAGATTTGTCTCTATTTTTAGATTCTTTTTGCAGTGCTGGGGACTGAACCCAAAGCTTTGCGCACACTAGGCAAGTACCCAATCTCTGAGCTGCCATCTTGGCATGTATTTTAATATGAGGATCTGGGTCAACATGTGACAGGTACAATCTGAATACAAACTGCTGATAGGGCCGCGGAGATAGCTCAGCACTTAAGAGCCCGTCTGGCAAGCAGAAGTTCATGAGTTCAATTCCCGGTACAAAAACTAAACAACAAAAATAGCCACTGATGTGTGAACAAGAAGTAAGGCCTTGTGCTTGAAGCCAAGAAATGGGTTCATAATATTATTTAATTACATGGTGCCAAAACTGTTTAATTGGTGAAATTGAAAGCTCTCTAGCAATCTCTTTTTTCTTTTTTCTTTTATTTTTATTTTTTTTATTTTTTTATTTTTTTCAGTTGTAATTATTTTTATTTTTATTTATTTTTTATTTTTTATTTTTTTTTCTTTTCAAAGTTTTATTGATAAACATATAGCAATGAGACAGTTTCAAATCAAATCGAAAGTACAGTTTCAACAAATAATACACTGCATATATTCTTCTTAGTGGTTAATTGCTGTACAAGATGCAGACTTGTGATCCTACTTACAAACACCATTAGAAAAAATCATTCTATTCATTAAGAGAATGCAACTATATATCTATCCCAACCACTTTGAATACACAGATACAAAATGGACATTCATAGTTATACCCCAATTTTTTTTAAGTTCCGTTGTTGAATATTATAGGTGTGTAAACTCAGCAAAATATTCTAAAAGAGTACAGAAGCTCATAATAGCATTGGGTCTTCTGTTTAATTGGCAATGTCAGAAATTATTGACCTGAGTCTCCCACAGCTCAACGTAACA